AGTTTAAAAATTAGAGTGAAGCTACCTATTATAAAACTTGATGGTAAGAACATGATCTGTGTGTAAGAACATGATCGTATATTCGTTTTTACGATAGTTCAATTTTTTTGGCAAGTTATGCATTTATAATATAGCGTAAATTAAAAATGCTCATATATTATAACTCCTAAGGAGTTTAAAACATTTCAATTTCAAATATACGTCGGTCGTGACTTTCATTGCAGTGTCACTATAATGATGCAAAAACCCTCGCAAAAATAGGTGTCTTGAGAAAAAGTAAAAACAAATTGTTTTGGCCCATACTCTTCGTAGAGTGGATATCAACTATCAATACTCAAAAGTCAGTAATCATAATAAATTCGTAAAATACCTACGAATTTTGTGTAATTAATATCCAATGAAAATATAGTTATAAATATTATAGTAATAACTAATAACTAATAAGTAGGTAATAAGTAATAACTATATAGTCTGAAGTAAAAATAAATATTATATTCTCTTATTTCATAATATTTGTCAACCATGTGTTTTTCAGTAATGTAAATATTTATATTATGGAAAATTTAAAATGCATTTCGTAGTAGTTGATTAAAATTGTTATTAGCATATTACCTAAATATACATTATTCGGTTAATTATTGTCACTCGTAAGCCATTAATAACGCCGCCTCGTCGAGTTTGCTTTTCTCCCAACTTGTTTAAAATCTAGTCGTATGAATTATTGTTTCGGTGAAGTCGTATTTTTGTTCAAGAGCTTAGAATCATTTGTACGAAACAGTGAACAATTTCTTGTATAATATTACAGTCGCAATAATTTAGGTTAATTGCGAAAATGTATTTTTGGCACTATTCCTTTTTTTGTTTGTTTTTTCAAAAGGAAACGTTCAAACGTCGATTGACACTTATGACCGTACGCCATTGGCATGATATTTAATTATATCAACAATTAATGCTTTCGTATACAGGAACAAGGCGATTACACTATATAATATAAATTATAATACAACATTTTAAATTTGTTTTCTGTTTTCGCTACATTCACATTTATACATAATATTATATCATTATTAAATTCTACTGACGAGTATTATAGACGTCCGTAATCGATGAGACCCACGACGTACTCGGGGAGTTATCTATCTCGTAATAATGCATAAGCCGGTAGAATAAAAGAATATTTTTAAAAGCCGAATTTAATTTGAACCGACGCAATTCGTAAATATAGAGTTCTAAAATTTAATACCGCCTTCTGTCTAGCTTAGAAAATACGCATCGTGTAAATCACGAATTGGTGCTAATTATTTTCGAATAATCCAAGTAAACTGCAGATATAATATTATGAATTGTGGGCAAATACATAGGTATGATTACAAAAAACCAGATTTCTTCCGGGTTACGCATCCCCTCACTGTTTTGCGCACAAAACCATTGCTCGTAGTTGTCCGCATTTCATTGGTCGGCAATGTCAATAGGTTATTATAGAAGCGGAGAGCTACGCGATAGACGTAGAAGAAAGGATGGTATGCTTATCACAAAGTTGTGATCATAACTATTAATTATTTAGTCACGATATGAACGAATTAACATAATGAATCCAGTGATTCTTAAAATGTCTAGTTTTGTAAAACCTCAAAGACAGTATGTGCTCGCTCTTCGTCTCGAGAGGACAAATTTAAAATCGTCCAATCGACTAGATGTGATTTAGAAAACTTTCCTATTTTACAAAATTCGTCAATTTCTGCGTGCACGTTTCTTCTAATTTATTTAATACTTTGGTTTGATGATTTATTAATGTCGCATGTAGTTTTTTTCCAGCATTATTTCATTTGGCGCCGCAAGACGTTATAATCTGCCGTCTATTATTAACCGACTGGAACGAACCGCCATCCATCGCACCAGGCACCAAATATCACAGTTGTGCTAACGACATTATTTTGTCCAAAATTAAACACACCTAAATTACTTCTACACGCTTTCGACGTGCATCCTATTTGTAAGATTATCCTTTTTCGGACGTAATGTCTATAAACACACGTTGTATTATACCTCTATATTCCATTATGGAGGAATATCATTCGACCCAGGTATCGTCACACAAGGTGCATACTGCCGGCCTCTAATTTATCATTGATTATTTTTTCTAAAATAATTATTTTAAAAACTTTTCGTTTTAAAATAATATAAAATATACCTATGCCTCGTATTTATAACGTACCTTATGTATATAATATATTAAAAGAGACGTTACAATTTTTGTTTATGGTGTGAAAGTGGCCGCGTAAAACACTAATATTATTGTTATAATTAATAAATTGTTGGGGTTTAGAAGTCAATTTAACATCTAATATAGTTTTGTATTTGGTTCGGTTGTCATTAAAATGTATATTTTAAAAACTCGCCTCGAGAAATCCTTATTTGTGTTCTGTAAAATCGTCTTATATAATACCCATTTCTGTGCTTTTAAGTTTTTTGCATAAGACAATCATTTTAAAAAATTAAAAAAATTAGGATCGTTAATTTAGAATCAAGTCATTCAACGATTTCAAAATAAATTAAATTTCCAACTATCCTAGTGTAAAACAACGTCCAACGACATTTGAAAGTGTTTATTTTTGAAAATGTCGATAGTACCTAGGTATATGAAGGGTTACGAGGAAAAACGATAATAGTCAATATTCCTAAAATGTTGCAGTTTTAAAGTGGGACTCTGGCCTATTTTTTTTGTTATGGAAATATTTAAACCTGTATTATATCATTGACCGTGATCTTCTTTCCATAACTCGATTCACTTGTCGATTCGTTATGTAACTAACCAAAAGGTACTATAATTATTTGATTTTTTCTTTCTTTTGACTATGATCGTTTTTCCGCTTAACCCTTCATGTTTTATTAGGTAATTAGGTAATTGTTAAACGTTTGTATTCGCTTGCAGTTTGCACCAGGACAGTGGACAAAAAATTAAATAATTTAATGCGTCTAAACTGCCTATTAGTCGTCGTATATATTGAATTTCCGCATATAATATTAACTTCTGACATCTTTACAAACATTTACCAGTAAAATTAGTAAAAACATTAGTCGATTTCGTATCTATCGTTGGGTACTCAAATGCTGAAATACCAAAGGTATTTTGTCCAGCGACCGTTTAAATTGCGATCGGTTTTATATTTAAAAAATTATATAAAGAATAAAAATAAAAACTAGAGTATGCACCTATATAATATTAAATAATAAATTGTGTTATTTTTAACACTTGCATATAGTTCTTATTATGCGTCTACGAGTGATGAAAATATATTAATTTTGACTTTTAGTCAAAGAAATCTACACAAAATAAATTCATTAAAAACTTTTACATCTTATATCTTACATTTGCAAACGCGCTAACCGTGATCGACCGATCGATCAAAAACACCGTCGTCGAATATCGGAAGAATTTTTGGCAACTTCTTTGGTAGGAAATCGTTCGTTTTTTACTTTAGACCGAACTCTTCGTCTAATATTATTTGGTGTCGTTATTATTATTTCATTCATCCGCCTCGGTTCCGACCGTGAAATTTATGTTACACGTACCTACCACCATCGTTATTATTATTATTAATTATACAATTTCGTCAAATCGTCCGAATCCACGGGTATTGCGGGTGCCAAAACGCTGGCAAACTGCATTTCTTGTATCTCCTACCCAGTAAATATAATATTATGTCGTGCTACATGTCTACATAATATTATTATTGTGTATATATACTTATGCATCTGACGGCAGTCGTGTAGTGTTGGAACTAGTGGGAGGGTGGTAGAGAATAACAATTTTTTTTATAGGTGACGCTTTTGTTGTGCGCGGGAGTGAGTTTGTTTGTTTTGAAGTAGATCCCAAGTTGTGAGTGTTATTTAAATCACAGATGGTAAATTGAAAGCGCCAAGTGACACTTATTACCTATTCAAATGTGTGTTTCTTAATGGATACAAAGTATTATTATCTTTAAAACGGTACAACTTGTGTATAACACGGAAAATAATATCTAATACATAAGCATAAGCGCGCCAAATTAAATTTTGGTTCTTCTCCCGTAAAATGTAGGAAAATGGAAAAGTGACTGTGTCTCTCATATAAAACGCCCTCGAAATACTAAACAATTTTCGATATTAGTGTTTTCCTACTGTAGGTACTTATACTTTTAAATTATACTACTCGTCATAGCAATTTTATTACCTACATTTTTCTAATTTGTCTATTATTTTTTTCGTTCGTCTACAATCTGTACCTAATTCGTTTTAATATAATGAGAAAATTCTAGATTGCATGTAAATAGTTAACACGGCTAGACAGGAAAAGGTACAGAGGCAATTGGATTTTTTAACGACGATACCCATCTTTATTTTTACTGCATAACCGGATTGGTTAGGTGAGTAAAAGGTATCTAAAAATGTCGGTGAAGGTGAAAAATATCAAGTTAGTATTTTAAACAAATAGCTTTTTAAAGTTTTGGTGAACTTGATATTAACTCGGGAAATGAGTGCGTGGCCGGTTATAAATGGATCACCCCTGCATATTATATACATGGGTATTATATTATTATTATTATTATCATACATCACTGGCGGCGCGAGTGCTCTGCCGAGAAGTCGTCTCCACCGCCGCGATCTCGACGGGCAATTAAACAGCGTCTAAAAATAAACGGGTGGCGGCGGGCGGGCGCACGCGCTGCGCTTATAAAGACTCGAGTCTCCGATGGACCGGTGGACATACGTTTCGCAGCTTCCGACAGTGACGTTTTCATTCGATCATTTTTTTTATCTTATCGTCATAAATTCGTATAGTGGTGCTGCGTGAGGTGTCCAAAGACAACATCGTCAGAAATCGATAATACCGCGAGCAAAGAACTACGTCGAAGACACGCGTCGTGCGCTCGAAAACCGTTATAACGATCTAAGTGTTGTACATCCATCGATATATTATTATTATTATTATTGTACTCGACGGGACGAACGCGTGAAAAATGCCGGTAAGAATCAGCAAAAACCAAACCCGTACGACGTATAATTTTATGTGTAGATTATATTTTTATAGTAGTATAAGTAGTATACTTGCAAGTTGCAGTCGACCTCTGTAGTTAAATTGTGGTTTGGGGGGGGGGGGTGGTTCGAGATATTAAAGACCAATAAATTGTTTATGGCGTTAGATCGTTGGAAGGAGAATATTATGTTTATATACGAGACATCGAGGTACGAGTTACTGACAGTCGTTTGTATGAATGATGTATTACTGTTTAAAATATAAAGTCGCTTCGAAAAGTATAAATATATCGTTTCCCGTGGTGGTTATAACTGCAGCTGCTGGGCGATGAGACAATACGTGACTGACACGGGTACCATAGTATTATTATGAGAATATAATGTACCGATCTAAAAGCTATACAATAGTTCTTTACTTCTGAACCGCATGAGTTTTGTACTATGCAGATATATAAAATAATGATACAATGAATTTAACAGTTTCAAAAGTGTGCGGCACCGTAGCTGTGATTAAAGTTGTTGTTTAATTTTATATAATAGTTCTGCAGTGTTCAAATTTGTTTAAAATTCAATTGACTTTAACCGCAGTATCTGAAATTGCATTTGCATTGGTGTAGGTACCTACATTGTAAAATAAACTTCGTCAATCGGAACAAAGACTTTAAGCATACATCATTATTCTTTTTAAACTCAAGTACCTATACATAATGCTACAAGGTACAAAATTATATCGTTAATAAAACGCTACACCAATAAATAACGCTGTCAGTGTTGAATACAGGGAATACTCGCTATAACACTCGCTCTGTATTACGTAATTCCTATCGCAGACGTTTAGCTAAAATAAAAAAATCTTTTTTTGACCAATTCCAAATAGAGAACTGATCAATACAATATTTTAATTTTAAATCAATATAGGCTAGGCTGCTAGGACATTAAACAAATGATACAAAGTATTAATTTTTAGATAAAATAAAATATTAAGATTTATCGATTATATATATCAGTAAGTTCTTGTCTTTCGATTTGATGAAATTATTTCACTAAAATATTAGGTTAACTTAAAACCAGACCAGTGAAACTGCAGTTATACGGAGCGTTTTATTTTTTATATACGTAATGCAGTTGTTGGGGACAGAAACGGTAAATGTTCTTAAATGTAATATCTATATAGTTTTGAAAAATAACAACAGGGACACAATCGTTTCAACTGCACCCACAATAAGTATAAACCGCACCCATACTGTGGTACGATGAAAGATATTATTGGAAAATAGTGTATAAAGTCGTGACCGAAAACACGACGCGTTTCAGCGTTTGCCGTATTATTTATTGTAGCCACGTGAAAATAAAAACGTTGTCACCCCGTGTAAAAACGGCGATGAAGTCACGTTTAAAAATACAACTATTGCATTTCACAAGTTTAGTTTAGAGAAGCGGTCTTAACGACTTCCGAAACACGTCAACACCCGGGTTGGCGCACGCGACCACCGATCAGAAACCACACGGAACACAATTCGCGCGAGTATCATTCTGTCTGTATAATATAATATAATCATTTCGCGGAAAATCGAGGCAACTTCGCGGCCGTCGCCACGTCGCAACCATCATCAAAGGGCCAAAAACTAATCGGCACTAGCTGTTTAATGTAACCCATTAACGAGACTTGGATAAAATAAAAATCCGTTTAAACGCCGAAAAATCCGTTATATATATATATATATGTTATAACTCCTCGGGGACTTGCCAAATTTTTTTTTGGCATATCGCGAATGGACGGCAGCACATCTCGCGTTTGCAACACGATTTTTCGTTAACTTATTATTCATGCACGTCAAAAATATCCGCGGAACGAGACCACACGATTATTTATGTACAACATGCGCAGCCATTCATTCATATTATACTCGACTATATTATTGTAATATACTATAATATCGCCGTGGGCGAGCGACGGTCTTTTCATTCATCCCGGAAAAATACGCCTAATAAAATATCGCTCGAGCATCTTCGACCAGTCCGTATTGAGGAATGCTAACCGGGGAGAAGTTTTATCGTTACTATAATGTGTGTGGTGGTGATTTGTCAAAACGGTGGTGAAATATGAGGATCAGTTAAGTCAGTCATACCTACCCTTTTGCGTCTCTCAACAATATAATATGTATTTATTGGATAATAATAATATGGTGTGTGATGCATTGGCGTGGAGCTGACTTGCGGTTATCGAATAATCGTCGGTCGCGATCGCGTTTCTTTAAAAACATGATAGAGGTACAACATGTCGACGATATTATACCTTTTGCGGGATTATAGTATACACACACAGTGCTCTGTGTCTGGCATAAAAAATTGCTATGAATTATAGTGTCACGTTTGCTATTGAATCTATATTATATATATATAAAACTGCGACGTCACAATATTTATAGGTATGCGATCGTTCGCCTCTTTTACGACGCTTCTATACTGCAGCGGCGACTTGAAGGCGGCGGGCGCACCTCCCTCGTCGCGCGCCAGTCGGACCACCCTCACCACTGCAACGTATCTTAAATATTATCGTCTAACGAGCTCTATGCAATATTATCATATACCTTTTATATTATATGCTGTAGGGAACAACTCGAGTATCAAATTATACAGTATCTATACAGTAACAATACTGAAGAGTCTACGGTATTGTTTTTCAGTGTTTTTGTGACAAACGAATGCGAAAAGATTGCGTTATCATTTTCACCAAGCATAATAATATTTAACAATTATGATATCGTGTTGTTTATAATATAGACTTTAAATCTGCACGACTTGTCCAGACAAAATGTAAAAATATATAGGTGTATTATTTTTTTGCCGCATGCGCTGGTTTTTATTTAGATTTTTATTACTACGTCTATACGATATTTCTAAAAACTATTAGAAACAATTTTAATTTTAATTAGATTAAATTTTTTAGTTTTGATATAAAATTGTACCATCGCTCAATGGTAATTTGCGATTGATATTGACAATTGTCTTTTATTTCTCTCTATTCTAGTTGCTATAAATTGGTACAATACCAGAATCTTCAATATTGTATTTTTGTATGATTCAAAAATATTATGTATAAGTAATCAATGGTACCTATAACTTTAATTGCTTTAATTATTTCACTACAAACACGAATCAATATAATATATTAATATGATCATATAATAATATCTTAATATGATCATATAATAATATCTTGATTTTTGCGTAGAGCTAATAACTTATAGGAAGGAAAAAATGTTGTGACCGACAACGTTTGTACCTCATTATGCTACCATATAATATTAATATATACATTACATACGATGCGTTTTATTATTTTTTTATAGATACCAACATTTATATATTATATTATATTATACATATCAAACTTTGAACGACCGCCAAAAAAGCAAAGCGAAAGTCTGTTTTCGTTAACGGGCTCATAATATGATGTATAATAATATAATACACGCGGTCTAAAAATATAATCACAAATAATAATAAAAAAAAAAATCTCATTAAATCGAAACGATCGAGGGCGCTATGGAAAAAATACATACAATTTATATGTATAATATTAGTCCAAGGCTGGGCAAGTTCCATTTCAAGCCAAGTTTAGTTAATAAGAACTCGAATAATTTTCTAATATTTTTTTTCTCCAAAACAATTTTTATATCGAAACTAAAAAATCGTCAAATACATTTTAGTGGGACATATTTGACGACGGTATCATAACTCGAACGTCTCATGTAGTACACAAATCATTAAAAGACAAATATGTATATTATACAATTTGTCCAGGGGGAACGCAGGGGTACGTTCTCGAAAACTGGGTACACAGAATGTAAAGTTGTTGCACATTCGCAAAATACAAGAGTTAAAAAATCGTAAGTCAAAGGAATTTATGATCCAATAGTTTAATATCATGTCTCGCAAATACAAAAGTATATTTAGGGTATTGAGTAATAATACTTTATTATAATGCCAACTGGGTTACGGAGTGTATCCTGTTATTGTGGACACACTATAGAAGTTCACTAGACTAAACCGGTGTGAAAAATAATGCACCGGGATGTTTGGACCATATCATTTTCATGGTTCATTATATGTACCTATACCCAGGGTTGGGCAGTATCTTCGATACAAGTATCTAAGATACGTATCTTAGATACATTTGTATCTTGTATCTTGTATCTCGATACAATTATGTGAAGTATCGAGTATCTTGTATCACGATACATTTTTAGTCAATGTATCGAGTATTTCATGAATTAATTTAATCGAAAGATACTCGATACATTAACGCGATACTTTGAAAAATTAATTGTTTACGATTATTTTTACTAGTCAGAAACCACTTTTGAAAAGTGACTAATGTATTATTATTACTGAAAGTGTCAATGTTTTTTATTTTATTTTTCATTCTAATTACTTAAGAGGACGTCTCACCCGGATGTGTTGTCTCAGTCTTACACACGACTACGACATGGCAAATTTTCGTTTGCTAGTTTCAATAGGGTATTGTCAGTTTTGATATTAGAGTGAATCAACCTACTATCAAACTTTTAGGTAACAACATTATCTGTGTTCTCTCGTTGGTTTTTTACGATATTTTAATTTTTAAGTGAGTTATGAACATTTTAGAATATGAATACTTTACATACCCATAATTCACTTAAAAATTAAAATATCGTAAAAAACCAACGAGAGAACACAGATAATGTTGTTAGGTACCAAAAAGTTTGATAATAGGTCAATCAATTCACTCTTATATAAAAACTGACAATATCATATTGAAACTAGCCAACGAACATTTGCTATGTCGTATGTGTGTAAGACGGTGACAACACATGCGGGTGAGGCGTCCTCTTAATGAAGTGGCCATACCCACAATAATAAACATAATTTTTAAAAATCCAGTGACTAATTTTATTAAAATGTATTGAGTATCGAGTATCGAGTATCTTGTATCGCGATAGTCCAAAGCCAAGTATCGAGTATCTAGTATCGCGATACTCTAGAGCCAAGTATCGAGTATCTAGTATCTCGATACTCCAAATCCAGGTATCTAGTATCTACTATCTCGATACTGATTTTTGAGTATCTTGCCCATCCCTGCCTATACCGACATCTATTTAATGAAAAAATATTATTTTTTTTTTGCAGGCTAAAAACAAGGAACAAGAAAAAGAGATGATGGAGTGGATTGGCAATGTTTTGGGCGAGCCGATTCCTGAAAGCGTCTCTTACGAGGATCATCTGAAGGACGGCGTCGTGCTTTGTAACCTCATCAACAAGATAGCCCCCGGATCGGTGAAAAAAATACAGACCAAGGGTTCCAACTTCCAGCTGATGGAGAACATTCAAAGGTACGTCGTTCTATATATATATATACCTCAACATAGGTAATATATTAATATTATAATATGATTTATCGCTGGTTGGTGTGGGCTAAGTCGACGGACGTTTAAAAAAAAGAAAAAGGTGTTTTCAAGCATAGGTGGCAGGTGGTGCTTATAATATATTATTTTTATTATGTTGATTGAATGTGAGTTATATTGAAATTAGAGGACGGCCACACCGTCCATCAATTATTTGTAAAAATCGTTTGTTTCACACCGAAAAACCATTTGGTTGAAAAATTCAATTTCGGGCAATCTTACTGCTAATTTTACATACACATTTTTACCATACAAATAATAGAATTTTAACCATATAATTGGGTATGTTTTCTTTTTTATATTGGTTTTTTGTTGCCACGCTGTATTTTAAACGCTGTGAGTTAAAAACAAATCACTTAATTTATATTCTAGTCTTAACTGGTTTTTTTTATTTTTACCAATAGAAACTCATGATTTTTTTTTTTTATTTTATTTAAATTTAATAACTTTTAAATTAGATTTCTGAGAACAAGTGATTTTTGGACGTCACTCAAATCTGGTAGTTATCGTTTTTATAGTTTACCACCTAAATATTGTCAACTGACAATTTTAATATTTTATAATAATTTCATTAGTTAGTGATTGTTTTTAAAACTCAAAGTGCTTATTTTTTTTTTTTTAATATATTTGGATATTTTTTTGTTCCTCGCTCTGTCTGGGGGTGAGGCAATTTCCCATTTTCTAAAAGTAGGGTGGTCCAACCACTAGTGGGTGAGGGGCTGATGAGTATATAACCCAATGTCATCTTGTGGTCCCTCGCTGATCGAGCTTTTATATTTTTTTATGTTGAAAGACTCAATCTGCATACAAGCATACACTAAATACGTTTAATAAAGGATCCATCGACTTGATTAAAGTGGGTATCCTGACTGGTTTTCAATTTAAGTTTTTTTTTGTACAAAATTAAGTTATCGCGTCAGTTTAAAAATGTCTGTGAATTCGTTGAGGACCGATGAACACGCAGTACTATATAAAGTACTACGAATGGCAATCGCAAACTAATTAGTATAAAATATATAATTGTAAAAATCATAAAAATAAGAAAATAATTTTTTACACAACACTCGGTCGTGTAGTTTATTCCTAGAAGCTAAAAAAAGTTGTTACACATGTTAATTGTACTGTAAATGATTCATGTTGTAAATAGTTCCCGAAGTAGGTATAGAATATTTTATAAACTAAGAACATAATATTATTTAGAATAAAAGTAATACGCTAAATAATGTAATACGCTAATGTTCAGAAATTTATAATTTTTCATTTTGGTTTTCCATTACTAATCTGCCGCTCAAAGGGTTTTATCATTGGTTAAAATCACAATTTTTTTACTATTATCATTTTATAGGCACATTTTTGATTTCTTATTCCGAAGCAGATAATTTTTGAAATATATCGATGTAGGTATTTACTATATAATAGGTAGTACATATATAATTGTTGTAGGTATACATGTTGATTTTGATATTTTCAAAACGTCTACTCTAATTCGACCGCTTGCGCTTACATATACATATTATTATTTTTTAGATTTCAAGCGGCCATCAAAAAATACGGTGTCCCGGAAGAAGAGATTTTCCAAACTGCCGATTTGTTCGAACGCAGAAACATAGCGCAAGTGACGCTTTGCCTTTATGCCCTCGCTCGCATTGTAAGTTTCCCACAAATCTAGTTTATATTGTTTATAATAATATGGACCTGCAGTTGTGTCTGAAACAAAATTTGTAATTAAGAGGGTGCACTATATTTGTTTGTTTTCTCCCGCCAACCCACGCGCAACTCACCAAATTCGCGTTCAGCATTGGTTTTATAATTAGAGAGAATTCACCTATTATCAAAGTCGAAGTTAAGAGGATGTCGGAGCACTATATTTGGTTTTCTCTCTCTGGCACACGCGCAACATAGACAAAACATATTTACGCAGAATCATCTTTTATATCGATTTGTCTAAATATTGTCTCAAAACAATTTGAATACATCATTTTAATGTACAAAATTTTTTTTGTTTATTTTGAAAGTCGAATACAAAGTCAAATAACATTAATATAGAAAAATCAATATGTCATTCCCTCAAAAATATTATTCTCAATTTTTTTTGTAATGGGTGATTTTACCCTCTAAGATTACTTAAAAACATAGAAAACATGATTCTGCATTAATGCGTTTTGTCTAAATCTTAAGAATAAGAACACAACCCGTTTCACTATACTTTGGATATTTTCATTTGTATGCGAGTTATGGGAGTGTAATTTATTACAATTTTAAAATGCTTATGTAAATCGCATAAAAATTACAAAGGTAAATTTCATAATGGATGAATTCGCTCTAATATTAAAAGTAACAACACAGGGTTGGTTCTGGCTAACGCACATTTGCTACTACCTTGTGTTTGGGTCAGAGAGAGAAAACAAATTTTGCAATGACAACTTCTTAAGGATCTGTGTACCAGTTGCACTTGCATTTTAGTTTTACCTTCGCGGGTATGAAAATGCTTTTTTCCCCCAATCTAATTCCATCAGCATTAAATTACCATTCATATAAACCTTGTTGTAATATTGAAGTAATAATAAATTAAAAATGTATATTGTATTCATCATTTGGCAATTGCAATATTTTATTTGTTTATTTAGAATATTATATAACATTAAAAGTGCAGTTTGTTAATAATCTTTGCAATGGTGACTAATTACAAAAAATTAGTGCAGTACACAATATTCAAAACGTGTTATTTATCTAGATTAATAAGCATTAAATTGTCCATATCTTTGTCCCCGCTATGATTTGTCAGGGATGCAACTGCCCCTGATTATGCATATACATCAATAACTATTAAATAATAATAATTCTACGCGTATTTGTTTGCAGACCCAAAAGCACCCTGAGTACACGGGCCCGGCATTGGGACCTAAAATGGCCGATGCTAACAAGAGAGAATTCACCGAAGACCAGTTGAGAGCATCCGAAAATCACCTCAACCTTCAAATGGGATTCAACAAAGGAGCTTCCCAGTCGGGTTTGGGATCCTTCGGCAACTCAAGGCATATGTAATGATCAGCAACTTTATGAATCAAAAACGTACAAGCCCTACAATGATATTATACATCTGCGTACTACTATAGCGATGATGTACTATGATTATTCAATTATATTTTGTTACACGCGAGGAAGCGACATTTTTACTATTATTTATCATATATTTTTTTTTTTCAAAAAAGTTCATATTTATACACAGTCTTTTTTTTATTTAATTCACAGTGCCTTTATACTAACAAAATTAATTATTAAAATATATTAAAGAATAAATATTTACCAAAAACTTACATCTTCTATATAATATTACCTATTTATTATATTTGTAAACTCTTCTGTCGATGAGACTGTCCAAAGATTGTCGAATTGAAATAAATAAGTCAATTTTTTGTGCACCTGTGCAACCTATTTTTGAACATGGTGCGTTTGTCCAGGTTCCCTGTATTCCTGGTGACTGGGGCAGCTCAAAATGGTCCAACAAAGGTCTGTAAAGTTGTTTGTTACACATTTCTTGTGATGCTCATAAACATGCCCCGGTAATTACATCCTTGAATGGGATTTTGATAATAAAGTGGATTGGTCTGTCCTTGTGGCTGTACCGCTTAATGTTTCCTCAGAGTTCTCCTAGGTGTCTATAATCAATTGCTCCCTTTTTTATTCCTCATTCTGTTTTTTAACCACCAACTACATAATGTGCAACAAACTCAATCAGGCTGGAGGCCAGGGGCGGACTGGCAGATCGGGATATCGGGAAATTTCCCGATGGGCCGGTCGAATAATCGAATTATGGGGCCGGACAATTTGGTTGTAGAAGTAACTTATTACAATCTTTTGATTATAATAAGAGTTTATCAGTTTTTGGTAAATTTAAAATCTATAGAATATAACATAAATAATACGTTAATACGATAATAATTGTACCTTAATATAATTTTGCTTTTCTAAGAAACATACGAAACATAAGGTATTTATATAAATAGAAATTACGCTGCCGCCTGCCGGCCGCCGTCCCCGTGTTGTTTATAAATTTATAATATACGATAACGATATATTATTAATTCGATGTATTATTGTTGTTAGTTGTTTTTAAATAATATATTATTATAATTTATTATAAAGAAAGTAAAGTTATTGTTATAAGGCCTATACATTTTAATCTATATTCAATTATTATTAAAAATTGGTTAAATAGTTTAAAATATAATAGAATTATTAGTTTTAGAGGCCTATCCGGCTATCCCCTATTAGCTATTTGAATTTTGAATCCCACCGTGTGTTGTCGTTTTTAAATTGAATTATTCTTAATTCATATTGTTACGGTTCCCTAAGACCACATATTTTATATTTTTCTATAGTATTTGAATAAAAATGCTGATAAAAACCAAGGCTCTGCATCCAAACGTAATATTTTTAGATTATTATTAACAAATAATAATTTAACTCTACTTTTTGTTATTTATGTTATTCAATTATAATTTATGTATTTTATATCATAACTATAATATAAAATATAATTTTATTTACATGATAAATTACTATTGAGTTATATTATATTATATTGAGGTTCTTCAGTAATAAAAAGAGAAAAACTTTAAAGTTTATATAGAAAATTTCAAATATTTTTTACTCTTAAGTGTTTTATTTAAAATTATGGATAACTAAACATCAGTGGCGAGGCGAGCTATTTTAACACAAGGAGCAAAGATTTTAGTCTAGGTACCCACCCACCCAGACCCAGTACCCACCCAATATCTTATCAAATATACAAAAAATATGTGTACAAATTATATAAAATAAAAACAAAATTTAACAATTTAACGTAGGTACAATATGTTTATTATTACACAACATTTATTTAAATAATAATAATTTATTCAAAACATTTGAAGTAAATGCATATTTATTTATAGCCTCTTCCAGATCTATATAAATGTCCCTCTCACATGATAGTAAAAGTAAGCTTTCTAAACGATTTTGCTGCATAGTGGAGCGTAAACGAGTTTTGATGAGCTTAAGCTTTGAGAATGATCGTTCACTTGAGACAGAAGTGGCTGGAATGGTACATAAATACTTGTAAGCAACAAACAAATTAGGGAATGCTGCACATAACCCGTATGAGCTAATTAATTTTAAAATTTGTATTGATGTAAGATTTTTTTCAGCAATTTTTGTTAATGTATTACTATTAGAACTACTATCAGAATCACATGTATCTGTATTTTCTTCAGTAATACTTATTTCATTATCAGGATTGGATAATGATGTAAGATTCAAATTGGATTGCAGATTTTTAAAACTTGAAGCAAATATTAAATATTCATTTTTCAATTCTTCAAGTTGTAAATTTGGAATCCATTGCACCAGTGTTTCAAATAAATCATTGGGAATAGGTTCTCCATTACTTGTAGCCATAAGACGGCCATAGGAAAGAATCGAAAAGTCTTTTAATATATTTCGAGCCCCGTCAAATCTCATAAAGATAGAATTTGTAATTTGATCTAAAATAACAAAATAAACTTCTGTTCTGAATTTGTCTAACGGATTTACAATTAAATATTCTGTTGGTGCTTCACCAGGCATTATTTTTCTACGTCGGACACGTACATCTGGCAAACAGCTTTCAGTAAGACCCTTGTCACTTGCAAATGTTTTGGCTTCATTCAATAAATTTTCAGCCTCATGATTTGTCCTTAACTTTTTAATTTGTTTACTCACATTATCTACCATAGTTAAAGCCTGGATAAAATCAATTTCTGGTGATTGAAGGTAGACTGATAATGGAGTGGTGTAAAAAAATATTTTTTTCATTAACTTAAGATTTAGGACAAATGTAAATGAAGATATGATGGTATGTAAGTTTTTAGCTGTTGAAGAGCAATCTCGATCTGGTGAATTGGTTAATTCTTCTAAAGTCATCAATAGTGCTTCATATTTATCGTGAATAATAGAAATTGCTCGATCATGGGAAGTCCATCGAGTTGTAGAAAAATTTTTAATGCGACAGACTCTTTGATCAGGATAAATTTTTATTTGTTGTTCTTTAAATATAGCAGTACGTTTCCTTGCTCTCATATAACTTATTAATGATTGCAATTCACCAAAGAAGTTTCTCATACATGTGCTTTTATCACATGTATCAACAATTACAAGATTTAGTATGTGAGAAAAGCACCAAATATATATGGCTTGAGGATTTTTGTCCTGTATGTATGAACGTACTCCAGAATATTGCCCTTGCATACAGGCAGCTCCATCATATGACTGAGCACATAAATTATTTTCCCAATCTAATTCGTAAATATTACAAATCTCACAAAATAAATCAAACAAACCTTTTCCAGACGCATCACTTGCTACTTTAACTGCGATAAGGCGTTCTTCAGGCTGATGATCATCATTAACAAAACGCAATACAAGTGAAAACTGTTCCAGGTTAGCCACATCGGTAGTTGTGTCTATTATAATAGAAAACACTCGAGCTTTTTTTACCTTTTTTAAAATTTCTAATCGAACTATTTCACCAAGTACATTTAACATTGTATTTTGACTGTCGCTGGAGAGAAATGTTATACGGTTTTTTTTTGAAGCATTTGTTATTTTACTCAAATGAGATTTAAGTAAAGCATTATGTTTTGACATTAATTTTAACAATTCTAAGAAATTACCTTGGTTTTTAGAGCTCCAGCTTTCATCATGTCCTCGAAATGCAGAATTTTGTCGAGCCAAGTAAATTAAAACATCAAAAATTATTTTTACTATTTCTCTATTTTCTGCAACAATAGAGTTGGGAAGTCCTAATGTTGTAATATTTACTCTCTGATTACTGATATACATAGCTCTTCTAATTTCAGACTGCAAGTGATCTGTTGAACATTCGTGCACTTTAAGTTTGTAAGCAATATGTCTCCAATCATTCGATCCACATTTTGCAAGTTGGTTAGACTTGGAATGAGTTGTTCCAAAAAGTTTACAAGCAATACAATAAACTTTATCTTGAGAAGGAGAATAAGAAACCCAATTTCTTACTACAAAATCTCCAGAAGCAATTTTTTTAGCATAATGCTGTTCGTGAAATGATCTAATCCATTCACCCTGTTTTCGTTTAGGAAACTCTTGATTTTTTAGTTCTGCTGGTAACGGCTGGCATGGGTGTAAGCTGGCTAAATAGGCGAAATATTCGTTTGAAGTTGTTGGTAATATTAATGCTGGATCATTGGGAAAACTTTGGAAAACTTTAACTTCAGTTTGGACAGGTAGGACATGTATATCGACAGCATTAACAATTGAATCAGCATCACAAACATTTTGATTTTCTGTTTATAAAATATATCAACATTTATAAAATTAAATTGAATTTGGTACTTAATTACTGAAAATACTTACTTGAAACATCAGTGTGGGCAGACATCTTAACAGCATTTATTACTGAATCATCATCAGATACATTTTGATTTTCTGTTTCATAAAATAAATGTAATATATTTCAATATTTACAACTGCACATGGTATTTAATTACTGAAAACATTTACCTTTAACTTCAGTTTGGACAGGTAGGACATGTATATCGACAGCATTAACAATTGAATCAGCATCACAAACATTTTGATTTTCTGTTTATAAAATATATCAACATTTATAAAATTAAATTGAATTTGGTACTTAATTACTGAAAATACTTACTTGAAACATCAGTGTGGGCAGACATCTTAACAGCATTTATTACTGAATCATCATCAGATACATTTTGATTTTCTGTTTCATAAAATAAATGTAATATATTTCAATATTTACAACTGCACATGGTATTTAATTACTGAAAACATTTACCTTTAACTTCAGTTTGGACAGGTAGGACATGTATATCGACAGCATTAACAATTGAATCAGCATCACAAACATTTTGATTTTCTGTTTATAAAATATATCAACATTTATAAAATTAAATTGAATTTGGTACTTAATTACTGAAAATACTTACTTGAAACATCAGTGTGGGCAGACATCTTAACAGCATTTA